CCTCCCTGCGCACACCCGCCCCCCACAGCAACAGCCTCCCTGCGTACACCCGCCCCCCACAGCAACAGCCTCCCTGCGCACACCCGCCCCCCGCAGCAACAGCCTCCCTGCGCACACCCGCCCCCCGCAGCAACAGCCTCCCTGCGCACACCTCCCCCCCCAGCAACAGCCTCCCTGCGCACACCCGCCCCCCGCAGCAACAGCCTCCCTGCCCCCTCAACCCCCACTACTGGCAGCGACAGCCTCCCTGCCTGCCCACCTGCACCACGGGTGACCCCTCCCCCTTCCCAGCCTTCACCACAGACAGCAACAGCCTCCATGCCCCCCCTCGGCCCCCACCACCAGCAGCTCCCTGGGAAGAATCAGGCCAAGGTCAGGCCCTGCCCCTTCCGGTTCTGCTCCCAGCACTCCCTGTACATGCCAGGCCAGGGAATGGGGGAGGGCTGCATGGGGCTGCTGGGGGTTCCCCTGCATTGACTAGAGCTGGCTGAGGAGCTCTGCAGGCCAGGCAGACGAGCAGCCTCTGCGGGCACCATTCCAGCTGGGAGTCTCAAGTACCTGTACAGCCCCACAGACGCCACAGCAACGGCACGCAGAGAAACTGGGGGGTCAGGTGAACTAGAGGGGGCTGCTGTTCTCAGCGCTGCAAGGCACGTGGAGGGCTCTGCTTGGCAATCCCTGCTAGAAGCCGGCGGCTGAGCACAGGGAAATGGCCCAGACTCCCCCTGGGCTCCTTGACTCCCCGCCCCCCTCACACAAGCAGAGAAAGCTCCTGCGGGGGAGGCCAATGCTCTGACCTTCTGCTCGCTGGCAAGACCAGAGGGAGCCCGAGGGACAGCGCTTCTCAGGACCTCGGCCTTCGGAAGGGGTCCCGCAGAGCTGAAAGAAGCAGAACAGGAGGATGCTGGGCTGAAGAAACCTTCCCCAGGGCTAACGCTGGCGAGGGGCTAGCCGCAGGGCCAGCACAGGACTGGGCCTTGAGCTGAGAAAGGCAGAGGCGAGGGCATCCGGGAGCTGCAGAGCAGACTGCACTGACTGACTGACCTAGAATAGGAAGAGCCCAGAGCCACTCTCCTTCCATGCTCTGTCAAGGATGCACCAGAGCTCCCTCGACCTGGAGGCCTTCCCTCTGCCCTGTCGCTGTCCCCCCTGCTAAGGGGGCGACTCTGACAAGTGTTACAAACCCCACCGTGTGCTCTGCATAGTCTGGGAGGCTTGGCCCCAGGGCAGATCACAGGGGCTGCCGTGAGCACAGGCTGCATGGCCCGTTCCCCTGAGCAGTTCCCCCATGCTGGCCAGCTCCAGAGCAGGGGGTGGTTGGGACCCCACAGACAGAGGGGCCCTGCCCTGGAAGTACGGCAGGGATTTTCTGCCCTTGCAGAGTGAAGGAGCAGCAGAGAAACAGACTATCACTTCTCTGGGTCCGTATCACCCAGGAAGCCTTCTCCTGTGCCCCCCTCCCTTGGCCCCCAGGGGCCATGCATTCATCACTGCACATGACTCCATGTAACGTACACCAGACGCTTCCTAGCATTCTCTGCAACCCAGGAAATGTCCATATGGACTCAGCCAGGAGACAGGATCTCTAGCAGCAAACCCACGCAGAACAGGACCTCTCTGTCCTGGGATGCGGGTCCACATCACGACATACATCTCCAACCACCATCAGCACCAGATCCAAGGTTTAGTAAGTGTCTCCTTACCAGGTCTGGGGCGGGCTTGATCTCCAGGACTTCAGCAGCCAGATACCTCCTGCAAATGGGCTCCGCTTCACGCTGACTGCCCTTGTGTTCCAGCAACACACAGGATCCATGCTTGAACACCCAGCCGGCGAAGGGAGGACATTTCAGAGAGATGTATGCTGCCAAAGAATGGGAGTGCCTAGTCACCGTCACAGGCAGAGGGGCAGTAACAAAGCTGTGCAGATGACGCAGGACAGAAGGGCACTAGGGCGCCTCTGTAAGGAACAAGGCAGTGACGATGTTTACCAGTGACTCCCTACCACCATGCTGTCCCTGACCAAGGCTCGTCCTGCCATCATGACACTCAGAGGACACATTGAGCGTTCCATGTCCTGGGACAGAGCTACTGGCGGCCCCGAGGGCGGTGGGGGAACTGGGGCATTTCAGGAGAAAACAGATGATCAGTGTGATGAATAGAGCAATACTGGACTGGGGAGGCCCTGCCCCTCCACAGGTGCACTGCATGGTCCCAGTGGAGGAACCGTTCGACAGGACCGGGGTAGCCCAGGAGAAGGGGGACTGGGATGTTCTAATCCCAGGCAGCGTAGAGGATACACTGAGGGAGAAGAGCCCCTAAGAGAGGAGGGGCGTAGTCAGCTTCGCAGTGAACTGGCTGGTCAGACAGGCCAGGTGCTGAGGCAAGGGCACCAGCAGGCTCAGCTCCACACGCTACAGGCTCAGCTAACTTCATCTGGGTGAAAGTCCATCCCCCGCTCATCTACGCAGTGCAGTCGCACACCTTCCGTTACCCCAGCACAGCTGGGTGTAGTGCAGCCCCTGTGTCCACAGCACAGTCCCACACAGGCCCTGGCTCGGGTAGGAGCTCACGGGAACCTGCCAATGCTCGCGGCGCTTTTCGTGTCAGCAGCAGTTGCTGTGAGATGCCCTGGCCTTCGCCTCTTTGCCCTCCCCACATAGCCAGTGCCTGGCGCCTGGGCAATGCCCTGAGTCCCTGCCCATCTCCCTCTCCCCCAGGCTGCTGACCTGCTGCCTGTGTGCCGGCGTGCTGTCTGGAGTACAACAGGCCATCACAGGTGCCTGTGAGGGGGTTGCAGCTCACTCCAGCGTCACACGCAGGACACTCGGCCTGGCAGTCCTGCCCCGTATAGCCCGGAACACACCCTGCATTAGGAAACAGACACACGTGATCCAACCCCTTCCCGCTGAGGAATCCCCTGGCTGGGACCCTCCAGCTCCAACATCCTGGCGCGCTGCTCTCTGGAGCTCGGCGGGATCACCCACGCAAGGGGGAGTGCCCCTCCCAGGCTTGGGGAGCAAAGATTGTCTGTGGACTTGGATCCCCTGCAGGGCAATGGCAGGTGCTGCAGCTACAGCACCCAGGCTCCCCGACAGCTGTGGGGAAACCCTCCTGGCCCTGCTCTCAGAGGCAAGACGGAACCGCTGCAGCCTGCCGGGAGCGGGGCAGGTGAATGGTTGCCCGGGTACCTGCTTTGATGTGCACAGCAGCTGCTGGGTCCATTGCTGGATCCTCCAGGTTCACGAAGCGTGTCCCACAATAGAGGTAGTACGAGCCGGCCGTGCTGACCACCGCGCTGCAGCCCCTGCCCAGGGCGGTGCATTGTGCTTTGGCGGCTGGCAGGGAGGAGAAGCTCCCCTCTGCAGACAAGCTTCCATAAAAGGATTTCCCAGAGACCTCCACGTAGAACCCTGCAGGTGCACAGGAGCCCAGCGGGTGGTTATTCCAGGATCAGCCTCACACATGCTCCATTGGGCCGATCCTCCCAGAAGCAAAGCTGCTGTCCGCGCATCCAGGGTGGTAACGTGGTAACTGTCCGCCCTGCGCTGCCCCTGCACACAACAGCACTCGTTGCTCTGCACCACAATGAGCAGTGGCAGAACGAACCAGGCACACCCAGGGATTATGGCACCGCAGCCCCTGGCTCCTCCAGCAATAAAAACACCCACCCCAGACTGGACATCGGGGCTCCTTTCCAGAAGCCTAGCAGATGGCTCTACAGATTCTTACTGTTCCTCTGCGGGGTCTGACACACCCAGCGGTGAGGTCTCTGGCACGGCTCCTCCTTCAGGAAGCCAGACGGCAGCAGCAGGACACAGACCATTTCACTAGGAACCTCGGCCGGGAGAATCCAGCTGGAACCAGAGAGTGGTGGAGAAGCATCAGTGAGGAGCAGCATGGTGGGGTGGCGGAGTGCCACACCCCACAGCACACACTAGAGGGGTCACTTCCAGGGCACGGGGCTCCGATTAGCCACATAAACACCAAATTCACC